CTTTTAAGATCAACTCCAGCTTATGCTACTGGATCAGATTTAAAAGATAATTCTATAATTGAAATTTTTTATGCATCAACATTAAAATTATATGATAAAATGAACGGAGTTACCATAGGAGCATTATTAGAAGTTGATGATCCTTATAAAAAAAATTTAGTTTGATGGATTTTGAATTAACAACCCCTAGTAGTTTTTTATTTTTTAAAAGGCTTTATATATTGTAATTCATTCCAAGTCCTCATCTGAAAATTAGGCAAATTAAAAGATCAAAAAATAATTAAAGAGATTATCAATTAAAAAATTTTTCTTATGATTTAATATTAACTTTTTGATATTAAAAAGCGGTTCCATCATTCTATTTTAAAATATCTCATAGGATAGAATGAGTATTTTTTTCTTTTTTATTCAAAAATACAAAATATTATCCATTATTGCATAATCAAATCGATATGATGTTAGTATTTTGCCAATATCACATTTCTATCTTTATGATTTTTAATTGGAAAATAAGAATTATCATCACATTCATTATTCTTATTTAAAGTGATAGTTTTATTTGAATTCTATTTAAAGACTCCATTTTCTAATTCAAATACCAAAATATCATTTATTTACTTATCTCTAGTTACCCATAGAAATTATTAGTCATTTATGAAATAAATTTTATTTCCATATTAAACGCTTTATTTATATTTGAATTTCCATTTTCCTTCTAATCCTAACAGTTTCAGTTTAATTAAAACTAAGTGAATCCTATTGCTATTTTTATTTAGAGAGTTCAGAAAAGTCAAATTATTCTCCATAAAATCTACTTTCCATACTATTATTTCATGATCAAACCCTCCTGAAATAAGTTGATCCTCCTATTTATTTAATATTAAACATTAAACGTCATTACTTGGTAATTTAAATGTTTATGAGCACTACCACTCTTTTTGGTTCATTTATTGCCAACAGATAATTTCCTGTAAACCACCACCAGAAATAAAGTTATTTGCCCTTTTGCTATACGCCAAACAATAAATAGGATTACGATGTTCATTATAAGTGTTAAATTTAAATCTTCCTTATTA